GTCAAAGCTAAGAAGAGTCAGCGTAGAATCAGCAAGAGCACATTCCAGAGGGAAGTCCACCTCTTGTATACACACACACACACACACACACACACACACACACACACACAATGTTTCTCTCCCTCATTAGACCACAAGCTCTTGGAGACGAGGTTTCTTTCTTGCTTTTTCTTGGTAGTCTCAGTACTTAGCACAGACCTGACACATAAAAACTCTATGTACTTCATAAATGCTTGAAGGAAGGAATGAAAGAATAAGTCAATAGATGTGAATGTGATCACTTTCCCCAGAAGCATCCTTCCCTTGAGAGCACCTGTTCAGGACCTCCTAAGTGCTGCCAAGTAAAAGCTCCATCCCACTGCCTGTGGGCAGGGATTCCACAGGATTGTCCCATACAATTTCTCTACCCAAGTCAGAGTTCTACAGTGGTGGCAGATGAATGAGCCACACCCTCTCCTCTCAGCCCTATTGGCATTGCTGTGGTCCCTAACAGCAGTGATGGTGGGAAGTGGATCCCAGGAAGGGAGACCTGCTGCTCTTTCCAATCAGCCTATACTGGCTAATGTAGCTCTCAGGATCTCAGTTCAGAGCTAGAGGTGAAAGAGATCTCAAAGGCCATCTAGACCAACCCCTTCATTTTACAAATAAGGAAAATGAGGTCTAGGGAAACAAACCAAGATCACACAGGTAGTATATTGCATAGATGGAACTGAAACCTAGATCCTGTAACTCTAAATTCAATTCTCTCCATCTTCACCATCAGTAGGATGGGTATTCAGAGTTGGAGGGAATCTCAGTGACCAACTAGTCTGCTCTCTAAATGAAAGCAAGTCCCTTCTACTGTCTATCAATCAATGAGTAAGCCTTTATTAAGTGCCTCCTGGGTGCCAAGTACCATACTAGACACTGACCAAGATAAAAATGAAACAATCCCTTCTCTCAAGTACCTTATATTCTCTTAGAGGGCTATAAAATGTACCTATAGGGGTTCTTGTGCAATAGGGGCTCTTGGGGTCTTCAGTAGCCTCAAAAAACTTTTAAACTTTAATAGCTTAAAACTGCATGAAGACTTTGGGGATAACATGTATAAGTACACACAAAATAAATGCCAGGTAATTTGCAGGGGTCTGTGAGGTGGGGAAGCACCAGCAACTGGGGAATCAGGAAAGCTTTTTTTTTTTAGGTGAAGAGGCATTTAGCAAGCCGTTACTATGTGCTAAGCACTGGTGACACAAAGAAAAAGTGAAAACAGCCCCTGCCTTCAAGAAGCTTATGGTCTAATGAGGGAGACAACATAAACACAAGTATGCACAAGATATGTTCAGAGTAAATGGAGGGTAGGCTGAGATTGGAAAGCATTTGCCTCTAGGGGAACAGGCACGCTGGGAAGGATTCTGTGTGGAAGGCAGTGCCAGAGCTGAGTTCTGAAGGAAACAAAAGAACTGAAGAGGCGGAGATGAAGGAGTGCATTCCAAGCATGAGGGACAGCCAGTGGAAAGGAACACAGATGATAGATGAAGTGTTGTGTAAGGGTCAGCAAGAAGGTCAGTCTAGCAGGACCAGAGTGTAAGGAAGGGAAATTATATGTATCAAGTTTCACTATGCAGCCTATGCTCCAAGAGGTCCATTGCAGAGGAACCCCCCTACCTCCCAAAGAAGCCTATTTCCCTTTTGGACAGCTCCAGTCGCCAGGTGCATATTTCTTTCCATAACTAATCTGACATCCAAAATGATGGCAGTGGCCTGAGGGGGGCTGGCTTATTTGGCTAAGTGAGGACACTGAGCCTGTGATTTCATTGAAAGAGAACTCCTATGGGAGGAAGCTACCTCTCCTGGTGCAATCTGGCACCTTCCCAGTCAATGAGGTTAAATAACTTGCCAGGCAGGGATCGGTATGGACCAGAGGTGGGGCTTGAACCCAGTTCTTCCTGGCTCTAAAGTCAACTCTCTATCCACTATGACATACTGCTTCTTGTGGCTAGGCAGCAAGGTGGTGTAATGGATAAAGCACCAGGCCAGGAGTCAAGAAGACCTGAGTTCAAATCCAGCCTCAGACACTTACTAGCTGTGGGACCCTGGGCAAGTCACTTAACCTCTGTTTGCCTCAGTTTCCTCGTCTGTAAAATGGAGATAATAATACCCCCTACCTCCCAGGGTTGTTGTGAGGATCAAATGGGATAATAAATGCAAAGTGCTTACTTAGCCCAGTGCCTGGAACATAGAGAGTGCTATATAAATGTTAACTTGCTATTATGGCTAAGTATAGAAAGGAGAAATTCTCTAATGGCTGATTTTAAGGGATAGCGCTAGAGAAAATGCCCCACAAAGGTGCTCTTGTCAATGTTCTACCTAATAATAGAGATACAGCAACTTTACCAGCATGAAGGACAGAAAGGGGTCTTTTAAAACCAGCTACAACCAGGATCATCTCTTCTAAAAATCAGTCACTAACTGGCAGAGGCTCAGATTCCAGGACTATTCGAGAAACCAGTTTCTTTTAAGGCAGAAGCTTCAGCATTTTGCTCCACAGCCTTTGCATCGAGTTTCCTGTTTTAGCCTACAGCAACAAGTTTCCTTGTGCAAGCCCTGGAGCAGGGGCGGGAGGGGGGGGGGGAGATGAGGCTGGAAACTCAAATGCAGAATCCAGACCTTCCATCTAAATGACTCACTACCAATCACTGAGAAGAGCTTTGCAGTGATTCTTTAATGCACACAGTACGAATTAGAACTTGAGTCAAAACCAGTGGGGTCTTCAAACTCATTAAATTAGAAGAGATTCAAAGTCATCATACACTTCCCCTCCCAACCTACAGATGAATGATGCATTTGCTCAAGGGACCAAGCTTTAGGTTTGTCCTGTCACTGAAGTATACTGGGGCTGTGTGATTGTGAGACAGTAACAACTTGTCTGAGTCTCTGTGTCCTCAGTTATAAAAGGTTGATAATACCATCAGGAAGAGATAATAACCACAGATGAGAGTTGGTGACTTCCTCTACTGGAAGGAAGCTCAGGCATACATGCCAGCTCTGAAAGGAAAAAAAGAGCCAGTGGCATGTGGACTCTGTGTCACTCCCCTTGTAGTGCCCAGCTCTGCCACATATGTGTGACTGTGTAACCTTGGGCAAGTCGCTGCCATTCTCTGGGCCTTGATTTCCCCAGATGAAAGATAAAGAGAGTGGGCTAGAGGGATGTAAATGAAGATCACTTCTAGCGCTAAATCTACGATCCTAAAGAAAATGCTTCCAACTGCATTGGCCAAGCTAGAAAGCTTCTGGGTCCCACCCCGCATTGCCAGATCTCTCCTGATCAAAACAAACTCCTTGTCACATCTTGTAAAGAGTATTTATTTCCCTAGCCCTCCAGTCCCCAGTAACTATTGCCCTTCATGCATTCTAAGGCAGTGGGAGAGAAAAACTTCCTGTATTCTCCTTCACATTTTCATCTTTTCTGAAAGGAAACCAGAGTTTAGCATCTATTCTTGGCGGCCTGACTCCTTTGGCCTCCTGAAATGTCCAGTAACTTAGCAAAGAAAAAAAGCCTATGGATGTCCTCTGTGAATTGCTGAGGCCCACGTGAGCTTGTTTTCCCCTCTCCTCCAATTTATGGCCTCTGGAAAAGATTATAAAACAAAACAAAACAAAAACCATTGTTTACAGAGCTCAGGGGGCCAGTTGATTCCCAGCTGAGGGTAAAGCTGCCTGCTAAAGCAATGAGACAGAGTGGATCTAACACCAGCAAAGAAAGCCATGGAGACAGAGAGGAGGGCCAGCTGCCCTGCCTGTCCCTGACAGCAGAGCAGGGACCACCTCCCAGATTTGCTCTCAGAAAGAAAGCAATATTGCTCTCCCGGGGGTGCCACAAACACAGCCATGCTGAGTTACAATTTCCCAGCTGTCCTGAGCCCCACAGCCAACCTGTCTTGTCCACCATCTTAACTCTGGGAAATATTTTGGTTCTAGAGTTGGTGGAGACCATCAGCCATCTGAGCAAAGGGGCAGGTGGTGAAGGGAACTGAGAGAAAGAGACAAGTTGGACCATAAGAAAGGCTTGACAAGTGTCTTAACATCCCTAGGGTGGGGAAAACTATCCCCAAACTCAAGGCAACAAGGAATAACAAATAGGGGAGCATAGATCTGGAACTGAATGGCTTTTAGAGGTCACCTAGTCCAACCCATTTATTTACAAAGAAAAGACTGAAGCCTAGAGAAATTAAGTAACTTGGCCAAGTTCAAACCAGTAGTAAGTGACCTTGGTGGGATTTGAAACCAGGTGCTTTGATTCTAAAGCCAATATTCTTTCTAGTGTAATGTGTTGAAGGAAGGCCTGCATATAATTTTGCTACTGATACTTAACAGCTATATGACTGGAAGGAAGTCACTGAATTTCTCAGGGAAATCTCTAAAACAGAGGAGTTGCTGATCTATATCAGTGAAGAGAATTTCCACACTGGGAGCTCCTTCTCCTATAAAATATAGGTCACCATTTTTTTAAAGGATATCATTATGACTTCCTAATGAGGATGGTACATAATGGACTTTGGACAGCTCCACCTTGACGTCCAGCAAAAGGCTTTATCCAGTCAATACCTGTTGAATGAATTAACAGATAAATGGACCAAAATTCTCATTTCCTAGTTTAAATGTAGAATAACTGCTCTTTTGAACTGAATTAACTATGTAATAAGAAAAATTAGGAATTAAGGCTGAAAAAGTTGTAGTTTGTCTCAAAGAAGGTCTGACATTCCTGCCTCGGACACTTACTAGCAGTATGACTCTTGGCAAATCACTTCACCCCTCAGCCTCAGTTTCCCTATCTGTAAAATGGGGCTAATAATAGCACCGATCTCACAACAGGGCTGTTGTGAGGGTAAAATGAGATAATTCAGGTAAGGTACTTTGCAAACCTTAAGATGCTATAGAAATGTTCATTTTTTTTTTTACCTTAAACAGAAATGTGTTCTGTTCTAAGGCTACACCATTCTCTTCTTTGTCTTATCCAGGCAAGCCCACTGGATATGGCTCTAGCAGTCGGCGTTTACACCACACAGGGATCGTGGATGAGTGCTGCTTCCGGAGCTGTGATCTGAGGCGGCTAGAGATGTACTGTGCACCAATTAAGCCAGCCAAGTCAGCTCGCTCGGTGCGTGCCCAACGCCACACCGATATGCCCAAAGCCCAAAAGGTAGGTTAGGATGAGAGGAAGCCTTCTCTCCCTAGCATAGAATGTGGCGGCCTTTACAGGCAAGCTTCAGTCAAGGGTACCATGTCATACCTAGCAGAGTATTTCAGAAATATCCCCCCCACACCTCATCAGAGGCCCTTAACTCCCCAGCTGATTGTCAATCCCGTCAGCTTTAGGCTTACTTAATTCTCTACCTTGTTGTTTCCCTAATCAATCAATCAGCAAGAATTTTTTAAGCATGTGCTCAGTGCCAGGCATATCTTCTTAATCATGTACCTTTTAAAATCATCATAATCATTAATTAGTCATTATTAGTTATACAGAATGGTGAAACAAGTATCTTATCTCCCCTAGGAAAATAACAAGTATTCATTAATAATGTTAATTAAATCATTATGATAATTAATTAATTATAGAGTATGTATCTCATTTCTTCTAGGAAAATAATTATTATTAATTAATAATATTAATCATTAACTGTGTGCCAGGTGCTTTTGAGTCATGTATCTTTTTTAAAAGCATTGCAATAATTAATTAAGCATTGTTAAATATGGAAAATTGTTAAGCAAGTGTTTTATCCCCCAGAAAATTATTATTAATTAATAACACAAATTACTGTGTGCCAGATACTTTTAAATCATATATCTTTTTTAAAAAGCATTACAATCATTCATTAATCACCATTCATTGAGGAAAATTATTAAACTAGTATTTTATCCCCCCAGGAAAAGTAGTATTAATTAATAACATTGATTAATTATTAACTGATTGTGTACCCCGTACAATTTTTAAATCATGTGACTTTTAAAAATTATTATACTAATACTAATTATAAAGAATGGCTTAGAGGCATCTGGATAGAGCACCACTGGCCCTGGAGGCAGGAGGACCTGAGTTCAAATCCAGACTCAAACACTTACTAGTTGTGTGACCCTGGGCAAGTCACTTAACCTTGACTGCCTCCAAAAAAAAGAAAAGATAAGATAATGGTTTAACAAGCATCTTACTCTCCTATTAAAATTAATTATTACTTTAACCTATGTGCTAGGCCTGTCTTTCTTAATCATGTCCCCATTTTAATCATTAATTAATTTTGTGTGTGTGTGATCTTAACTTCAAACCATTGCTAACTATCAAAGGACTATTATTAGAGGTCATGAGCACTCTGATCTAGAAAGACAAATCATTCTGAGAGAGGAATTCTCTGTGTTTACACTAAAATAGGTGATAGAAGTAGGGACTGGACCTGTGGTTTCATTTGCGTAGGGAACTCCCAGGTGAGGAAAGTTTCTCTATCAATACAAGTCAGCACCTCCTCTGGAAGTTACAGTGGCTGAGTTGCCAAAAGCAGAGGTGTGAAACCTGAAGCCTCCTTACCCCCAGCACTCCAGAGTAGCAGGAACCAGATTAAAATGCAACTGGGAAATATTTAATAAAAATAAATAAAAATACAACAGAACATAGATAATGTTAATATGTGGTTTTCTAAGTCAATATGCAGCCCACAGGCATCTTTATGTATGATTTAGTGGCCCTGTTTGTGATCGAGTTTGACACCACTGGCCTAGAGGCTAGGTGATTTGACCAGGGTCACATAGCCTATATATGTTAGAGTCATGACTTGAACCCTGGTCAGCTCTCTCTACCCATTCTGCCACCTTACCTCTCATATAGAGATGCCAAGTCAAAATTTCTGCTTTATTTAAAGGAAATGCCTGCCATGATAGAACCATGGAAGGATATTCTTTCTGGGATATAGACTGTGAGCAAGTCTTCTAGGACTTGTCTCTGGGATGAAAACAATGTGATATAATTTGAATCATCTTTTATCTTTTGGACTGGAATGTGTAGAAGGGTAAGAGAGAGAGAGACAGTTGGTGTCAGGGAAAGAGCTGAGAATAAGGAAAAGAAGAGGAGAAAGAAAGGCCAGGAGAAATTAAAGCAAAGGGATCTCCTTTGGATCTCCTCAAGATTTCTTGTTTTAAAAAAAAAAAATAGCCAACATGTGTTTTAACTGATGGCATCATTCTGCAAAAGCCTAAATTGAGCACTGTGACACGTGTGACCAGTCCTTGGCCACCATCAGCATGTAAAGCTCCCAGCATTCAAAGCCCAAAGAAGAGTTAGGAATTCAAGGGTACTCAGGTGGGTTCTAAATTGAATCCCCTCCCCTCTCCTCTTGGGTAAATGTCTTGTCCAGCTGCATAGAGGGAAGGTCTCATACTGTCAGTGTACGATGAGAGGGTACCTTCTACTGGTTTCTGAACGAATCTGGGATCAAGTGATCAAGAGGTGCTCGCTGCATGAACATGATTGTGAATTTTTCAGAAAAGGGGGAGGGCAAGGGAGTACCTATCTCCTTTCCCTTCTTATCTTTACAACATAAATAGGAGAATCAAACTGAACACAATCTGATGGGGGGCACAGTTGTCTCAGGATCATGAGCTCCAAAATCCAGGTGCTGAATTAGAAAATAAAGGGGAGGATAGGAAAACCGCTTTTTGCTTTTGCTTACCTGTGTTGGGACCAGAGGCAATTACAAAAGACAGTCCCTAGACTCAGTCTCCCAACCCATGAAGCTCAGTGACCATAGGCTGGCCCAGAAGCACTGTCATCAAGAGCACCACAGGAACCATCTGTTCTGAATGAAATTATTTTTGTGATATTTGCAGTATCAGCCCCCATCCACCAACAAGAGAACGAAGGCTGAAAGGAGGAGGAAAGGTGGGCCAGAGAAACCCCCAGGAGGGGAGCAGAATAAGGGAAGAGAAGAGAGACAGCAGAGCAGAGGAAAGAAGAAAAAGCAGAGGAGGGAGACTGCAGATAGAAATACTGAACACAGAGGAAAAAACAGGAAAATGGAGAGAAGGAATAAACAGACAGAGGCAAGGACTATGAGAAAGAAACAGAAAATCAGGAAGCACTGTAGAAAACCAAGAAGAAAAATGTTGTGGCAATAGATGGCACATATAATGAAATGAGAAAAAAAAGGCAACCTTGGGTAGGACAAGACATGGAAAAAAACCAAGTATTTGGAGAGAAGGGAAATATGTCAGAGCAAGTCCAAAGGCAGATACAAGAAGGAAAAAGACTAGAAATAGAAAAAGTAGGCAGGTGAAGCACAGCTATAATGATGGCTTAAGAATGAAAGGAACTAGAAGGAGGGATTTTTTAAGGTCCTCTTTAGGAACACTTCCAAAGTTTTACATTAGCAAGCTCGCTTCCATTATTGCTTGTGAGTTAAAGGCTGAGTTAAAAATTAGCAAGCATTTGAACAGAACCGTTTATGAACGCTCACAGGTCCCTTCCCCCACGTGGTTCATTTCCCAATCCTGTGGAGGGTCAAACTCCTCCAGAGGGTAATGGGAACAGTTTAGAGAATTACGGGATCTCAGGATTGGAAAAGCTACAAGAGCTTCAATCCCCTGTCTGAGGTATGATTTGGTCCAATGACCAATGAGGTAGCCTGCCTTTTTTGTACTTTAAACTGGGGAGAAATTAGGGGAGAAGCAATGTCCCAGGGCCTTCTGGTCACATCTCCTTGATTTACACAACACATACACACACAAAAGAATACGAGATTTTGGGTCTTAAAGATTTTGCTCCATGAAAGAGAGAGAATTTAAGTTGCTTTTGCTCTGAAGAGTGAGGTCAAAGCCCCTAGCAATGGGGAATTCATATCAAGGCTTACTAAAAAGTTCAGAAATTAAACTGAGAGGCAGCATGGCACAGTAGATAGAAAGTTGACTTGGAATCAGGAAGATGTGAGTGCAAATCCTACCTTTGATGCATACCATCTGAGTAACCCTGGACCACTCACGTAACTTCTCAGTGTTCTAGTCAATTCTCTATGACCATAATTTGCAGAGGAAGTGATAACCTACGTTGGTAGAAGGAATTTCCTTACTCTGGAGTTCCTAATACCAATGAAATCTCAGATCTAGTCCCTACCCATCTCACTAGCCTCCAAAATATCAAGACAACAGTATTCCAGGGAAGTAGCATGGCAGTGAGAGGAGAATTTAGAGTCAGAGGACTGAGTTCAAATCTTAATTCTGCTGCTATCTCGATGACTTGGGCAAGTTACTTCAAGAAAAAGCCAAGACTTCTTCTTCTATGGCGTCCTGCTTCAGAAACCCCCTTACCAATCCTCTGTGATTCATTGAAGACCCAGAATTCCTTGAATGGAGTTGCAAAGGTGCCCAGGTGTGACCAAGGAAAGGAAGTGAATAAAAGAATTGGATGAAATCAGTCAATCCCTGCAGCTGACATTAAAACAGACTGTTGTCCAAAACTCTCAAAGCAGATGAAGGCAAGTCAAGACCTTATAATCAGAAGAAAGTCAAGTTCCCTCTTCACTTGCCCTTAGGACGCATACACCTTTGAAGAAACCCAGGCAATTACAAAGTACAGTCCTTACACTCAGTTCTTCTGATCATTTTAGTACCACAGGATGGAGCTATTGCCTTGAAGTGTTCCTGCAATTAAAGAAAGCCATTCGGGATCTCCCTCAACTAGAACACTACTGGTTCATTCCCAATCCAGAGATTCCCTAAAATGTCTGGCTTCTGCCCTCCATTCTCTTCCCTGGCTATTGATTCAGTGCCAAAGTCAACTCAAAGCTCAGACTTGATGAAGGCATTGGGTAAATGACAATGAGGCAATCCTCTTAGCTATTACCTGAAACTTGAGTGAAAAGCACACTGGATTTGGAATCAAGACATGGGTTCAAATTGCTACTCGCCTATTTCCTAGCTACATGACCTACAAGTCACTGCCCCTCTCTGGGCTCCAGTTTCTTCACCTGTAAAATGAGGGGGTTGAAACAGATGACCTCTGAGGGCTCTCCTAGTTCTAAGTCCATATTCCTAAATCATTTCAACTCTCTCCATCTCTCCTTATCTATAGGATGAGAGGGTTGGTCCCTTCCAACTTTAAAGCTATGATTCTATGACCTTGTAAGGGGGCATCCTGGTACAGTGCAAAGAGCACTGGCTTTGGAATCAAAGGACTTGGGTTCAAATCCTGTCTCTGTCATTTACTTCTTGTGTGACTTTGGGCATGTCATTTTACTCCTCTTGGCCTTCATTTCTTCATCTATAAAAAGAAGAGGTTGGACCACATAGCCTTTGAGTTGACTTCCAACTCTAGATTTATGTTCATCTCCTCCCTAACCCTAATTTCCACTAGATAGGAATGAAACAATAGTCTATTCCTCACTTTTAAGGCAGCATGGTACAGTGGAGGAAGTGTTGGCTTTAGAGTCAGAAGACCTGGGTTCAAATCCTGGCTCTGCTATGTACTACTTGTGTGACCTTGGGGAAGTCACTTAACTTCTCTTGGTCTCACTTTCCTTGTCTGTATAATGGGGGGAAGGTGGATTAGATGGTTCTTAACTTGTGTGTCATGGATGCCTTTGGTGGTCTGGTGAAACCTATGGACACCTCAGAATAATATTTTCAATTTTTTTTGTTGTTCGGTTGTTTCAGCTGTGATCAACTCTTTGTAACCCCATTTGGCAAAGATACTGGAATGGTTTACCACATCCTTCTCCAGCTCATTTTTACAGATGAGGAAACTGAGGCAAACAGGGTTCAGTGATTTGCCCAGGGTCACACAAATAGTAAGTGTCTGAGACCAGATTTGAACTAATGAAGATGAGTCTTCCTGATTCCAAGCCCAGCACTCTATCCCCTGCACCACCCAGCTGCCATGTTTTCAACACACGAAATTAAATTCATAGGATTTCAAAGGAAACCAATTTTACTGAAATGTAGTCATGAAAATATTCAAAATTAAACAGGTTGATGGACACCCCCTCCCCAGGTTAAGAATCCCTGGACTAGATGGCCTCTAATGTCCCTTCCAGCACTAAATCTATGAGCTATGATGCCATGTTTCATGACTGGCATGACACTAGGAGAACGTTGGTACCAAGGTCCAAAAGAATGCTAGGTCTGGAGTCAGAGGCCCTGAGTTCAAATCCCATCTCTCATATTTCCTTTGTGACCTTGGGAAAGTCATTTATCCTCAATTCTCTCATCTGCAAAATGAGGAAAAGTATACAAGATAGTATCTGAGGTCCCTTCTAGATCTAAATCTAGAATCCTAGAAATCAAAAAGGAATGAGGGCAAACACCTTTTTAGCAAAAGACCTTTCAAGTTCAAGATATCTCTTCAGGTCTAATTTCTCATTGGTTGAAAAAAAAATACAAAAATCATCTTTCCAGAATGAATAACCCACTTTGACTAATGGAAAATATGAACTAAAGCAAAGAACCTGTTCTGTGTAGGGTACCATGCCAGGCCTTGGGTAGTATACCAAGAAACAAGGCATTCTCTGGTCTCGGGAAGCTTTGGAGTAGTTCCTTCTGTTTCCTCTTCTCTAGTACGAAGACTTAGGGTTAGGGTTGAGAATCTAGTGTCAACCATCCACCCCCATACAGAGGCACAAAGAGATCGAGAGGAAGATCTGGAGAACCATGGGCAAAAAAAAAAATAATAATAATATGAGCAAAACGTACTGATCCCTTTCACTTTCTATTAAGATGATAGCAAAGTTGAGGAGAGGAGATGAAGGACTTTGGGTCAACCAAGTTCAGCCCTGTTCTCATAATCCCTTGCTTTTTGATTTCTCACCCATTTTCAGAGAAAAAGAGGCAGCCTGGCCAGTATCCACTGCCCCAAGTGAGTATTAGACAGCAGGTGCTGTCCAACTAAAATACCTTCACACAGAGAACTGTTGAAAATAGAAATGAAACCAATCCACAGAAGACTGTATCTCACTATGGACTTTAAAAAGAAGTTGTGAGTCTAAGTTTTAAAAGTCAATGAAAAATCAATTTATATTCCTCCAAAAAATAGTGGTTGGGCACCAATTGTGTTTCAGACGTTGCACTAGGCACAGGTTTGGGAGTAGGATGGAGACACAAAGATGGACTGATGGATAGAGGACTGTCCTTGGAGAAAGAAAGACCTGAATCTGAGTCCTGTCTCTGATACAAATTGAGTGTGTGTGACCTTAGGCAAATCACTGCCGCACTCTGAGACTATATGAAGGGGTTGGACTAGATGACCTTTAGGTCCCTTCTAATCTATGATTTATGATTCAGTGATCTCATGACCTCTCTAGGACTCCATTGCCTCATCTATAAAGTTATGGGATTAGACTAAATAATCTCTAAATTCCCCAGTAACTCTTAATCTATAATCTTCTGATCCTATAAATCCATGACCTCATAGTTCTCAGTTTTCTTATCTCCAAAGTGATAGGTTTGACTTAATCAGATCACCTTAACCTGGGTTACCTGAAATTACTTTTCAATATTTCAATAACTGTTTTCAAATCCTATGTATTTTATTGTATGCATTTAAAAATATGATTCTTAGAAGGGGTCCACAGTCTTTGCCTAACTTGCCAGAGGGGTCCAGGGCACACAGAAGGTGAAGAAAGCCATGTCTGGGCAATTGTACAGTCTCTTCTACCTTTAGGTCTGTGATTCAATTATGCTTCATCCTATGATCTCTCAAGTCCTCAGTTTCCTTATCTGTAAAGGGATTAGACTACATGACCTCTGAGGTCCCTGGCCAGCTCTAAATCCAGGATCAATAAGACACGTTTAATTATTATTTCAGTCAAAGCTCCACAATTTCATGTGATTCTAAAGGTTTAGATTGAGCTCTCAGAGAAATAACCATTTCTCTGTATCACTTAAAATCACACATGATCTGTGTTTTTATTGTCCTCAGGGTGGGACAGTGGATCCAACCTGGTGGTGCCTGGGGAAGATTTGGTTGGAGCAGTCTCCAGCGCTTACAAGTTTTGTGTGGAAAAGACCAAAATAAATAGACATGGGGGATATTTCCGGGCTCCCCACTGCTTCTG